CCGGGCTCAGAGTTCGCATGCGCAACAGGGTTCCTGTTCTGATGTAACCCTCAGCTTGGCTGAAATGCCTGACCCCAAACAAGCCACAACCCAAGCCCTCTGGGAAGTCACTGATTGCTTTCCTCTAGGCTTCTGCCACCTATGGGCAGATACACAAATGCTCATGCTTAATACTGGCCCTGTAACGATAGGAGGTAGAGAGGAATGAAACCAATGACCTACCTGTATGGAGGGCTGCCCCAGAGAGAAGCAGGGCCCCAGCCATCTCCTCTGAAACCAAGAGGCAATGTGGGGAAAGACACTAGCGTTTAATCATCCTGAAGAGCTTGGCAAACAGAGACCATCTTTCCCCACACCATCCCTTCTAGCCGAGCTAAGTGGCCTAGAGCTGTGTTGGGATGTGGGTGTGCAGTAAATACCGCACCCCGTCTAGTGCTCAGATGAGCTTTTATTCTTAGAGCTGGATTTAGAGCTCAACAACTAACCCTGGAGCTCAGATCCTTATCTAACTGCAGGAAGAAACAAGGGCAGCAGCACTGATAACTCTTTTCAGCCAGACCATCTCATCTCTGTTCAGAAGAGGGTGAAGGAGAGAAGTTAGCTTCTGGAGCCAGCTGTGATGGTAGCTTCAGTGTCTGGCATAAATATGAGGTTATTTCCTGTAAGCTTACGGTAATTTCTTCAAAGCTCTCAGCTCACCTGAAGAATGGTGCTTTTCTCAGACCCTGAGGAAGGCAGTTACTTGGTGTCACCTGGGCCAGGTCTCTTCCTAATGTCACTTTCTGACCCTGGCAAGTACTTTCCTAGTTATCAGCAAGGGCTGGAGGAGAGGGAATGAGTGAATAGTACCTAGGAGGCAACAACTGTGTTCTAGGCTCTGTTTTTAAGAGGTCTAACATCCTATTCCACCTTCTGCCCTCCCAGGAGCTTCACTACTCCCATCTCATTCTGGCAACAGGCAGCGATGGGCCGTTCCCTGGGAAGTTCAACAAAGTCATTGACATGGAAAGTGCTATCCAGACCTATGAAGACATGGTTAAAGAGGTGAGGAATCAACTTATTTCCTAGGAAGTGTTGCCTGCTTTTTTTCAGCTTTCCTGTCCCAGACACCACTATGGGTATCTGGAGCTATCTGTGTCTAAGAACAAGAGACCACGATACAGGGAGAGGCCAGGACAAGGAGCACGTGCTAGCTTGTCTGCATTCTGCATGCCCGGGGGGAAGATCAGCTGTCCGCACAAGGGGAAACCTGAAATGCTCAACAGTGTTACAGTGTACACAGGAGGAGTGCATGGGGTTCTGGTTTTTTGTTTCCTCTTAATGAACTGGGTGGTTTATTGCTGTTGGGCCAGTGCTGTATCTCAGAAAGGTCTGTTCACGGAGAGGCTGAAGGTATCTGACTTCCTGCACTTAACAGTTTTCCTGTAACGAGTTTCCTCTTTACTTCAAGATGGAGAAATCTGAGCGCATCCTGGTAGTGGGAGGTGGTGCTGCTGGAGTCGAGATGGCTGCAGAGATCAAAACAGAGTACCCAGCCAAAGAGGTAGTAGCATATGAGTTACAATTAACTTCATCCTTGTTGCCGAGACTGTTCTTCTGTGATGGTCCTGCTGGAAGTATCCGAGATCACTGCAAATCAGGAGTTTCCATGCAATGGCAGCCTTCGCCCCTACTGCCTTCTCTTCTGAGAGCACCCTATAGCCTGTCACCGGCACGAGATGCCGTTCACTGGCTCACTCTCCTTCGGCATTAAGCAGGGTGGAAGGAAGCTAGCTATAGCTGCTCCCGCCGAGCATGCGGCGAGTCCTGCCCCATTCCTGTGTCCTCCTGTTTGCTATTTTGTCCCCAGCAGGTCACCCTCATTCACTCAAAAACTGCACTAGCTGACGTGGAGCTGCTAGATAGCGTCCGTCAGGAGGTGAAAGAGATTCTCCTCAGAAAAGGAGTGCGCCTCTTATTAAGTACGTACTTAACATGCTTTGAAGATCTAGAGTCTGAAGCTCTATAAGCTGCTCTTCCTTTAGCCAAAGCATCTCCTTCTGACATCCTCTTTCTGACTTTCTTGACTAAGCATGGTCCTTGAATTCCTGTTTCTCTAGATAGATCTAGGCTAGCTGGAAATGGCAGCCTAGTAAAAGTTTGTGACCCAGGCTCTCTGTTGCAACAGGTGAAAGGGTCAGCAATGTGGAAAACCTCACGCCAAACCAGTTCCAGAAGGACATGGTAGTAAGGACAGAAAAGGGCACCGAGGTAGTTGCTGACATGGTGGTCCTGTGCACGGGGATAAAGATTAACTCTTCAGCATACGCTGCTGCATTTGGTAAGTGAAAAAAACCACCAGGTGGGGAGAAGCAACGCAGTTCTTCAATGTCTTATACTTGAGTACTGTGAGGTTAGGAATCAACCTTGTACAACCTGCAGTGGTTATTCCATGATACAGCAAATGCTCTAACATCACATGAAATACTTAACTGTGAAATGTGATCTTTGGAAACTTACAGACCATAGATCAAGTGGCCAGCAGTCTTCTCCAGCTCCTTCTGCTAATACATCCAAGGAACCTTAGTGTCCTAGTTCAGCATGAGGCAGATGACACTAGAAGTTTATGCTAACTCCTGCTATCAAGGCCAGGATTTCATCCTAGATACAAGCTTGCTGAGTTCTGAGCAAAAATAGGCTCAGCACATTCAGCATTCTTGCTGAACTATCAGTGTCACAGGGTGCTCAGCCGATTAGTTATTCATTAATACATCTTCAGTCTGAGTCCTCTTACAGCCCAGTTTCAGTTATGGCACTACAACTATGGAGCAGTACGACCATTATATGGTCTCTTTCTCAGGCTGTGTACGCTAGCTCTTAATGTTTCTTGATGTTTCTACTGAAATATCCAAGGATGATTCATTGCATGAGACTGCAATAATTAACTACAGCAAGGCAAAAAGCATCTCTTCCCTGACATGTAGAAAAGAGGATGAAAAACCAACTCCTCACTTTGTGTCAATGACATGTTTGATAACATCATCAGCATTTTGGGGTCTCGGGTCACAACAAGCAACACAAAGCTCCTTCTGAAAACTTACTGTTTGGCAAAACAGGGGACAAAATGACGAGTAACAGTGCTTTGAAAGTTAACAAGCACCTCCAGCTGGAAGGCTATGAGAACATCTATGTCATTGGGGACTGTGCAGATCTGAAAGAACCGAAGATGGCCTACCACGCTGGCCTCCATGCCAACATTGCGGTGACAAATATCATCAACACCTTGACACATAAGCCTCTTAAAACCTACGAACCAGGTAAGGTAATCTCCTAGCACCGGGCCTTAGCTGTTGGGCTGCTTTTCTGCAGGGAACAGCTGTTTAACATGTACACATCAGAACCTGTGTGGGACACTGATTAGAGGTGAAGGAACTCACAATTGGGGTTGACTATATAAGCTTATAGCTCAGGCTTTATCTTAGTTCTTGCCAAAGACACTGTAGACATTAATTACTTGTGTCAGTCTACATATGCAACGTGTCCTTTCTTCACTAATGTCTTTCTGATAGATCTACTGGTGGGTGTCTGCTATTCATCAAACTTGTTTCCTTTTCTTTAAATTGTTTACTGTCCAATTGAATCCTAGGAACAAGGAGATGACTTCACTTTCTCCTCCTTTCTCTCCTTAAACTATACAAACAACACAAACTGAACAATCTAGTCTCAAAAATCTAGCTAGGTGATGGGTCTTATTAATAAGCAGCTGATGTAAATACTTACCATAACTATGTTGAAAGCTGTTCCATGTGGATGGAGGATATCTGGACAGCAGTTTGGTTTTTAAAGGCTGCCCTGTCTATTTACATTTCTTTCTACTTAAGTTTTGTTGTCTACCTCTTGGACTCCCTCTTGGGAGGAGAGAATCATTCTACACCATGCACACAGACAGCCCAATCCTTCAGCAATCACATTACTGAAAGAGGTAGAGCAGATGGTAGCAAGGAGAGAGTTCTGAGTAGTTCTCCTTGGGCCTGCTTCTTTCCTTGTCATGCAGCACATGGGTCCTGTGCTTAGCAGTACATGTGGGTATGAGGCACAACACCTACATGTAGTAGGGTTTGATACTTAGCTTTGAAACTGCTTAACTTAAACCTCTACATCTCTTTTCCAGGGTCACTAACATTCAGATGGTGTAGGCCAGGTGAACGGTTACTATGTGGGACGTCTCTTGGTGACCATTGCTAAGAGCCGGGACCTGTTTGTCTCCAAGAGCTGGAAGACGATGGGACAGACAATGCCTTCTTAAGAGGGGATCAGTAACAAACCAGCAAGGAATACAGCATCTGGAAGAGGGTGAGGGTGCACTTTTATTGCTTGGACAGACTGATACTGTCTCCTGCAGGACCTCCTAAAGCCACCTGTCAGCGTGCTGCATGAACGCGGTGCTCTGCCTTGCTGTAAAGGGGAAGGAGGCACTTCCCAAATTAAGTGCGCAGGAGTTCTCATGATAAAAACCAAGGAAGGAATGTTTCTTTTTCTTCCCTGTTGAGATAGCTCTGAGCAAGAAACTTGGCTTACCTTGATTTGTAACAATAAACACTGTGGTTTTAAAAATCTCTGTGGTTTGTTTCTTATGTGGTTTTTCCCTGGCTTTCTCTACTCCTGCTCTCCTAAAACGTACCTGCCTCTTACAGATCTGGAATCTGCTCTGCAGTGTGCAGGAAGAACGGCTCGCAGCACTGCCTGGGGAAAGCCTGCCTAAAGCCTTGAAGAGGTAATCCTGGAACTCAACAGAATATAATGCAGCTTTGTGTCAACATCTCCAAAGCAGCTTTAATTATGTCACTTAGCACTATAGTTCAGCCAGAAAAGCTGACGAGCTGGTTAGTTGTGTGCTAAATGTGATACAGCAAGCACTGAATTAAAGATGCTGCTGCTTTTTTTCCCGCTTTTTTTTTTTTAAGGTGAGAAATTCCCATAGCAAAAGTAGGATTTGTAACAATAACCACACTTGACACGTCTTTTTCTTTTTTTCTTATAAAACAAACAAAATCACCATGAAATATTCTCAGTAATTACAGATTATTGCGAATTAAAAGCAAAACAGAAGCTCCTCATGCATCACTTCTAAAATCCTTTTCCCCTCTCTGTGGGCTGGAGGCAGAAGTTTACCATCTACCCTCAAGGGAGGGGAAAAAGGAGCAGAACATTTTTAAGAGCTTTGTTTAAAGTGTGTGTGTGTGTGTGAAAAATTCATCACTACAAATCTAAAATGAGGTTACTCTTTAAAAACTGCTAAACTAAAGTAACAGGGGACACTAAACAAACTCCTGAAAAGAGATGGTAACTCAATTGCTTAAGATGATATAAATGGCTAGAGGATGCTGACAGCATGAAGAAATCGGACTAACCCCCTCTCATCTCTAGTCATAGCTCTTCATCAAGTCACAACACATCACACTACTACCACTCCCCCTCCTCATCACATTGAAAAAATAAAACCCACCTCTAATGCTTTTAATGCTACTCAAGTTTGTTGAAAAATAAAGTTTCATTTGGCTGCTGTTGCTACTTAGTGTCTAGCTTGGCCATTTCTTGCACATAGATGCCAATACTTTCACTGTCGAAGAGCAGAAAGTAAATGTTCTTCAAGGAGGAAGAGCTGGTGCCGTCAAAATGGGTGGAAATAGCTCTTAGAGTCACCTGGGCTGCCGTCTGTTTTGGGAAGCAGTTTCTATGTGGTAGGGGAAGAAAACAGAACATGTGAGTGTCAGCCATCTGTGCAAGCATTATACACACGTGATGCTGAAAGGAACAAGCCATAGCTGTACCAGTTACAGGCTGCTGTTAAGATAGTGCCCATTGCAGTTTTGCAATGTGCAAATCCCAGAAGCAAACCCAGCAGTATTAATCTGCTGCTGTATTAGTTTCCTTGCTGGCACAGTTACTGTTTTTATTTGCTTCTACTTTTTATAACCACACAAAGTTTTTTAACACTCTCACTTAGAATTAAAGTGTTCCATGCCATGCTGGGCAGGCTAAAAAGTTCAAGGGATGATTATTTTTTCAATTGAAAACTGAAAAGAAAAAACCAAAAAACCATCAGCTACTTAGCTGACTTCCTCACTCTGTCATTAAAAACACTTTGCTTGAGACTTCAGTGAAAATAATTGAAATTACAACCCCAGGCAAATTAAGGTCAAGATGCATTCATTCATTCATTTTGATGGTAATATTCTCTAACCTATAATCTGAAAAGCTAAAAGCTACCAGTCTTTACAGTAAGTGCACTTTTCAACTGTGCTGACATCTCTTGGGGCACCTGGCCCGCATCCCTGAGATTCAAGTTTCTTGGCAGCAGCATTTTTTCCATCTTAATCATTCTCATACTCCTTTTTTAAGTCACAAAACCATTCAGCTGCAACACAGTTCCTTCGCTCTCATCTCCGTGCTACAAGGGAACTGGCTGAGAGCACATCACAAAAAGCACAGTTACTATGAAGGTCAGCTGCTTTGCATCTCTGTTTATATAAAAATACGACTGCTATAATACTGGACATAATTTCAAGAACTGTTCTACAGTTTGAATTTGATGCCTATCTAATGAAATACTCTGCCTTGCAGTATGCTCATGCTTAGGAAGGTCTCCACATTGTTCTACTTGTCTAACACTAAACAGATTCCTTGACCTGGAAAGCATCCCTTCCTGAAGCGATACATGTGTGTCTCTGCCACTGACATCTGGAGGGAAGGACACTCCTGCATTCCCTGCTGGAGTTTCTCTGCTGCCTGACAATGCTTTTAATAATTCTGCTGATTTTGCACAACACTGAAGAGCGTTGATGCAGTGCTTGCTACATGAGCATGTAGGAAGCCACATACCTTGGAGAGTTTGGATGAGACTTTCCTGGGACATAATGAATTGTTTGAAGGTGAGTTAAGACTCAGCTGAGATTTCAGATGGGTCTTTGGGCATAACTCTGCTGGCTGCTCTTGAGTTTAATGCCTCCTATTTAGATTCTACTGCATGATAATGCTCCAAAGGAAGTTAGATCCATGCCAAAAAAATTGGCCAGCACAACCTAGCCCATGTCCTTCCTCTGAGACAGGATCACGTATAACTTTTCTGCTTCTGAAAAAAGTTTGTCTAACCTATACTTAAACATCTTCAGTGATGGGGTTACATCAGAATACGCAGATAAGCCATCCCAGTATCTAACAATCCTTACACTTGAAAAATTACGGTATTTCTTTTAATAGCATCCAGAGCTGTCTTTGCAGTGTTTTTTTCTTTCCCCACCTCTCTGATAGAACTGTGATTTGTGCATTTGGTTTTATTTTCCTTTCTAAGTTTAGGACTACTCACTTCTCCTTACTCAATTTCATGTTAGTGATTTCAGACTACTTATCATATTTATACTAAAAACCACCCAAAAAAGAGCTTGGAAACTAGTCATCAACAACTGCTGTATCCATATTCATTATTCAAATGATTACTAGCAGACAGATTTTCCTGCTTTTAGTCCCTGGACAGCATCTGCAGCAACCCAGCTAATACGCCTATTTATTGATAAGGACTTTTTGAAAATGTTTTTCAGTTAATTTATATCTGCTTCACAGCACAAGTAATTTCATCTAAACTGCATTTCTCTACTTTTTAATGTCAAGATCATCGAGGTGAAAAGCCCTGGCACAACTGAGATATCCCATCTATTGCTACATATCAGTTGCTGTAAACAGTCCCTTAAGATGGGACCGAGGAAAGATGAAAATTCACAGAACCCATACAGCATAATTCCTGATCTACCCAACAAAACCAGCATTTCTTGTGCAGACATGTAGGTGGAATAAAATGACAGCAAAACTATTAAGTCTTATTTGAAAAACTCTGCCTTTTTTCAGACAACTTTGAGGTCCTTTGATAAATAAAGTGTAAACCAGCAGCAGCACCTGGTAAGACTTACCTCTGTTTTCTGTTAGCAGGACTAATTGTAAGAGCAACAGAGTGTGAAATGGAACAAAGCAGCAGAAGGATCTGCACTAAGACTAATGCTCCACGACTGGATTATTCTTAGATAACGCTCATAGGAGACATGAGGTCTACAGAGACTACTTCTATTGGCATTAAAAGCTACAGTTCATTTTTGAAAGCTGAACTTTATTATTAAAGAGTGGTATATCAATTTGTCACATTTTGCTTTGACTGAACACTATAAACAAAAAGATCTGTGTATAAAGGAAGAAAAATCACCAAAACTTGCACCGCTCCTCTATTTATTCTTTGGTCTTGATCCATAAAAATATTATTTTGTCTTTAAAAGTGTCTGTGTAAAAATGGCATTTCACCTCCTTTGTATTCAGTGATGTGTGGTGATGATCAAAATGCAGTTTTACCTTCATTTTATTCACTACCGGGCCAACACAACTGGACTGTACTATGTACTCTACTCTTTGGGCATTACCAAAAAAATCAGTAGTTACATTTCAAATTAAACATAAGCATGCGAACTCCAAAACGAAAGAACAACTTCTGCAGTTAGCAGGGCTTGTGTAAGGTTTCTTGTGATCAGAGACCAAGCAAGATTAACAAACTGTCAGTTTAAAAAAAAAAAAAAAAAAAGAAAAGATAAATACTTTGGATTTCTTAGTCAAGCACATTTTATTTGCTAGTTATTGAGAAAGAAATGTGTAGTCTCACAGTTGGTTTCATAGTTCCGTTTTTAAAGCAGAACTATATTCATGAAACATTGATTTTCTTTTGAAAGAAAACATTTTGTGTGACTAGTCTGTTTAAGATATATTCTCGGGATGACTGATGACTTAAGTGAACACCCCACGTTTACCTAGCTCAGGCTGCATCACTGTTACTTGCCTTCAGTATTATGCTGGTATAATCTTATTAGTATGAATGTAGTTTTAACAAGATTCACCACAGCAAAACAACAGGACATAAAACCTGAGGTGGTGCAGGCCCATAGCAGAAGAATGAAAATTACTGCCTAGCAATAGAAAACACGGCAAGTCCACTCAGCTCTCCTGTGGGTTAGCCAATTTCTCTATATAAGGGCTTTCTGGTCGTTCCATGCGAACGCTGCACTTCAAGCTCCTTTAGTCTGGAGAAGCACGGTGTCAGATAGCCACAGCCCTCTCTGGAAGCAGCGTCAGCCCCTTTCGTGCTACAGACTAGAGGGTACCTCTCTATCGCATCAGCAGCTCTCTGACAGCTAATTATACCATTGCTACCCAATACAGAATCCTCCTATGCAGAAAGAATCATACCTGCCACTGGGAAACGGGGGGAAAGCCACCGACTTCAACTTCTTGTCCTCTGCGGCTGTTAAGCAGTTCTTTACAGTCTCTTCAAGCTGCTCTTCACACTTGTCTGAGCCCCACTGTGGGATGTGACAGTGGATGACAAACTTTGCTGCTAGGCCGCTAGACTGAGTAAGTGCAGCTAACACAAATGAAAATATAACATTTAGTTTTGAACAGAAACCACCCTGCAATGACCTCTCAATCCAACGTACTTTCTTAATTACATTACCTCTCCAAAGAAATAAATTAGGGATTAAAATGTGCCACAATGGCTCACTTACAATCATAATCTGACTGTCTCTTCATTAGTTTTGTGATCAGTTTTTTTTTCTTTGGAGACCAAAGGACCTGGTACTCATTTGGTTAGCACACAGTTATTCAATAATATTTTTTTAGCTTTCTCATTCAGCATGGCCTCTGGATTTGTTTTATGCAAAGTATCAAAACCTTGCACTGAACACAGTATCGCTAATCCCCCAACAGACATTTCTGCAGTGCTGTCACAGCCTTATCTGAATGCTTTGCACAAATATCCTGCATCATCATTACAGTTCCAGAGTGTTAGGGAGTAATAGTTAGACCCACTTCACAAATTGGGTAATTCAGAAAATGACATGAAAATCAGAGTTGTTTGTTGAAAGTGTCCACCAGTTATGTCCAATTAGGAATCTCAGATTAATTTTTCAGAAAGCATAGTATTTCTTCAGGACCTGCAGAGTCCACAGCATGGCATCAGTTTGCTTTTGTTGCAATTGTGACCATTAGCACTTCTGAGAATCTGGGTCTCGGGAATCTCAGGTTAAACACCCTGAAAGTAGCTGTGCAATTAACGCCCAAGGATGAAAAACTTGGATTTATTCACTTGTCCACCATCACAGAGGAATTCTGTTGCAGGCACAGAGGAATTCTGTCTAATGCTTCACTGTGCCACTTAAATTTCAACCAGAAGAGAAATGTCAGGCCTTTAACCATAGGGAGCAAATTGACTGAAAACAACACAGGTATCCTTGAATTCAAGACTATTAGGCTGGAGCTCAAGTGTTTGCAGTAGACCTCCAGTGATTAACAACCATTTATTATCGCTTGCCTCAAAACCAGCAGAAGGGGCAATTTCAAACATAGCAACACAACACAATGCTTGAGAACGTACATTTTCCTATCTATTAAACTAAGACTATCTTCTTTCCTGGGACAGGCTTCAGAGCATAAAAGGAGTCTATTTTCTAGTTAGGCAGTGACGTTGACAGAGAAAAGTAGTTTACTCTGATGTTATGGCACATATTTTTGATTCAATGCAAAAGTGAAGCAAAGTATCTTGTACAAAATTTTGCCTGTCATTTGAAATTATAAAACTAGGCTATTCATTTAGAAGATTTTAAAAACTAGACTACTTAAAGCATTTAGTTTCTTGGGTATTGAGATACCAAGCCAAATAAGGCACTGGAAGATACATCGTAACTTCTCTCCATCTGCCCTCCAGGCCACCGTCAACCCCTATGAATTGGTTTAATTTGTTGACAAAGGAAGACATCATCTCAAACCCCAAACTATTCACTGCTACAGATGTGTTAAACATTTGAAGGGAGCTCTTCTGTAATTTGTATTTCTGTAATGTAGCTGTAGAGCCTGGGAGAAGAGCAGCAATTTCTCTTCCAAAAAGCATGTCAGTTCTAAAGATCGTATCACATCTTTATTTGTGTTCAAAGTAAGGTAATTGTTTGGATTATACCGTTCATCAAATATGCATAAAGCAGGATAATTTACAAACTATCACTGTTCTTATACCTCTTATGTTAGACTGAGAGCTGTTTCTGATCCTCACTAATGCGGGAGAAAAATAGGACAGGACACAAAGGTGATAGCACAAGTTTTCCTTAATTTTTGGACTCTCACAGACAGCAATTGCCTAAGGTAAATTAATCAGCCTGCTGTAATTTATGGTGGCACCTAGAACCTCAAAGACTGGATGTGCGCAGCACACAGGAATCCTATTCTTCTTCCTTTTTTTCCCCTAAGCAGGCTGTCCATGTCAGCAACAGCTTCGAACAAGAAACAGAAACATTTACATCACATAAGCAAAGGCACATATGTAATCAAAAACAGATCAAAATGTCCAGAAAAAAGAACATATGGAAAGAGCTGTTTCCAAAAGAGAGCGCAGCATCCTTTTTACCTTCAGCAACTTCCAAAGGTCCTTGAGATTTGCGAAGCTCTTTCACCGTTTCTAAAAACTCTTTCACCAATGCCTTGCCTGCAAGGACACAGTGCAAAAAGCCTTGGCTTCAAAGTATCAGCATAAAAAAAACAACTCTACATTACTTAAAAGAAGAACATTGTACACATATTATCCTGTTTCCCTCTATCAGCAGCAGCTGAAGTTTATGTTTACCACTCTATCTAGCCACAGATAAATTTTACTTTTTATTGGTTTTGAAAATCCCTGTATGTTATTACTGGAAATTACTTTAATATAATTTTCTGTAAGAATGCTATCTTATTCTGGCTTATGGCTAAAATAGTGAGGAGTGGGATTTTCAGGACTCAGATTTTCAGCGTCCCAAATCAACTCAACATACAAACCCTACTACTTTCTGAAACAAACACAGCTGGGACGCTAGTGAAGGTCTTGATGACTGACTGTATAAAACGATGATCCAAAAGCTTGATATTGGATTCTGTGCCTCTCTATGCGACTGACTGCATATCTCTTTTTTACCTCCCTCTTGCTTCAATTTCCGTATTTGTACACCAGCAGTAATAATATTTCCTTATTTCACATGAGCAGTATAAGGCTTTGTACACGAGTATTTCTAAAGTATGTAAAATCCTACAATGAAAAGCATAATTAGAAGAGTTATTAATATATAATTTTCTTCACAAAATTTTCAGAGGCAAATGTAAAAATAATCCAATAAAGACCGCAATAATGATTATTTACACCTTTGCTGCTCATGTGCTTTAACAAATTATCTGTGTTTTGATTGTCGTAAGCCATCATTAAAAAAAGATAAATTAGTGATTAGCCTGTTATACCTAGTCAGATCCAGCCTGATTTTCAGAAGTGTTGTAAGTGATATTTTATGGCCTGGGGAAGATTCAGATGAAACAGGACGGGATCTCAGCAGGCAGATAGTAGACCAGCTACTGTTCCAACTCTAGATCTGTTTTTTCTGCGTGTAGCAGAGCCTCACCTATTTCCTCCTTGAGGTCTATTTCAGCAGTTGTAGGGTGAACGATGCCTTCTACTTTCATGGAGCCAATATGGCTGATGTCACTCTGTGTCAGAGAAAGCTGTAAAATAATAAGAAGAGAGTAGGGAAAAAAAAAAATAGTAACTCGAGTACAAAATCATTTTCATACCAAAAAACTAAAATGAAAGAAGGCTGGATTCAGTCTTTCAGAAATCAGTAATTTTATTGTGTTCAATATGCATGATTCTGATTTTTAGCCTTCATTTAACTAATTTGTACACCACTCTGATTGTTTTGTGATATGCCTACAGCTTGGGAACTTGCTCCAGAAGAAGTTACTGCTAGAAAATTCGTGTTCTAGCATCACACTTTGAAGAAAAAAGGCTGACTTTGGAAATGCTTTTGTTTAAAGAGAGGAATACTAAAATTAAAAAGCTTTTCTCCTGTATAAAACACTTGCCCCAGAAAACTACTGTAGGGACTGAGACAAAGGGCTGAACACTATCCTGATCTATAAAGGTTTCACCACCTAAATAATTAATTTCCCTTTGATTTCCTGCCATAAATAAAATAATGAATGCTTTACCCACCCACGCATCTGGATACAGGAACTGGCCAAAACTTGATGTCTTAAGGTGCTCAAAAAAGGCTGCTCCCCAGCTTTCGCAGCCTCATCACTTTGAGCAACAACAGAGGACAGAAACCCTAAAAACCATTAAAAAGACTTTAGAGTTGCTGAATGCCTCATTTCTTCCAAGATACACTGTAGTATTTATGTCCTAACCAGAACAACAAGCACTGCCCATTTTAGAGAAGAAAGTGAGAAGCTGCATGGATTCTGGAGGAACTTAGGACAGGACTGAACTCTAATAAAGGAGATTCAAGTTTCATTTACCTAGCCAGATTACTGCTTTTAGCAATCTTTTGGATCTAGTATGTGTCTGGCCCATTGTAGACCACTGCTTTTGCAAGAGATGGGATCAGGCGGACTGAACTCTTAAGCGCTGCTTCACACAACAGGGTATACCATCAGCACAGGGGTCTTACAGAAGCAGGAAGAACAATTTTTCCAGATGACCTTACTATTGGCAATAATAATAATAATAAAAAAAAAAATCTTGACTATATCTCCATAGTTAAATCCGTAGAAAAACTCCAGTTTCATTCAGATGGTCCAAAAATTAAGGAAGGCAAAATTTCTCCCTCTTGGTGAGTATACAGGGGAAAAAAAAAAAAAATGGGACAGACAGTGGCTGGACACCAAGGACATGTGGGTATTTTGGTGGGACAGTTTTGTAATTCTGGCCAGGCGAGGTGTCACAGTCTGTGCTGAGATGGAGAAGTAGGCATGCCCTGCAGCTCTGGTGAGGTCCTCAATTTGAGCAGTGAAAGAGCGGCACCCCACAGCCCACTTTCAGATGGAGCATCCAGGCTTCTGGCACAAACCGACATGTGGAAGTTCTGGGTGATCCTGGGACCTGGCCCAGAAATACTCTTTTATAAATAATAAATAGCCTAGAAGGTTAAACCTGGTTTGGCAGGTTGCCAGGCACAACGCAGCCAAGTCCAAACTGAACAAAACTCTAATACAGCTTAGGCCAACAAATGAATCAGTATAGAGAAGAGAGGCTGACCAGCATTATTCCTGGAAATCTTTTATCTGCAGACATATTTTTTGAGACCCTCTATCATGCCCATGACTTGAGTGAGTTTGGGCCTTAAGTTTGGGACCAATAAGGGAGAATGCAGAGAAGATTTTGTACTGGTGTTAGATCAAAAGCATCCTTCCGTTTATGCTAGGCTCCATTGCTGTGATCCCAATCTGTTGTAACGTTGTATCACCTTTTGTCCTGGCACAAGGCTCTTGGAGGACAAGATAGTGAAACCATCCCCAGGTCCATCTTCAGATGTTGAATTTGAAGCTCCTTCTTTTTCACTGTCCTTTTGTTTGCTCTATTTGGGGGGAGAAAAAAGGAAGAACTCTCAAAGAAAAAAAAAAAAAAAAATCAACATTTACCATTATTCAGTAATGGATAGATTTAATCAGTTACTACAAATCTCATCTTCTCGGATCAATACATTACTCATAGCCTTTTAATCCCCAAAGGTTATGCAACAACAGAGGTGTTCACTGTTTATATAATGCTAAAACATCAGTGGTTCATCTGAGGCATTACATACGTTTGTAGTCACATTAAGAGTCAGGGCACGCACATCCATCTGTAGTTTTACTGACAATTAAGGTTGTATTTATGGGTCGGTGTGTGCTAGTTTATTTTTGCTACTAACAGAGCAGAACTCATACTAAATCAAACTTAGTAACTTAGTAACCCAGTCAAATGCTCCAATCTGAAGGCAAAAACAACTTCATGATCTGAAAAAAAATCATAAGACTCAGCTAATAAATCATAAATCTGAATCCATATTGACAGGAGCAAGCCATCACACCTCCCATACCAGCAGTCAGCGTGACAAAATGAAATAACTAACAGCTGAAGTTTGAATGCAAAATCCCCTTTGTGGGACACACTCCTTCAGGCAGCTTAGCTCCAGGAGCAGCAAACCTGTTCCTACCAGGGCTGCGGGAGCATCTCGTCACATCTCTCAATATCTGCTTTAAGGTATGTCAAGAAGCTAACTCTTCCAACAAGTCCCAAACTCTGCATGTGCACAATTCAAAATAAGGTGGTAGCTGAGATGAATACACAGAGGCATCCTATCAGGCATCCCATTAAGCAACTCTGTTTTCTTTTTAAAAGTTGTTTCTGCATATTCTTAGGTATAGAACTGTATTAAAGCTTAGAGGCCTCTAGAAAGATGTGCTTAACACAAGTTTAAAAAGCTTAGGTCAAAGCTTAATATCATTTAATCCTACCCAATCAAAAATTTAGCAGTGTTTTGAGATGCATGCTCTGGAATGACAAACCAAGAGCACTGATCTGGGTTACTGCTTTACCAAATTAAACCATTTTGGATGGTGATAGAGGATGGGCAACCGTAAGGGAAGGTGCAGTGGTCAAGTTCCAACTCCTTTATTCTTCTCACAACTCTTTTAAAAACTATTAACAACAGCACATCTAAGAAACAAAGAGCTTGTCAAAATGACATTTATGTACCATGTCAGGACAAGTTCTCTGGACAGTGAAAAATCTTTAACGGCAATCCAGTAACTGTACAAGGCTGAAGGTGTGACATCTCTCAAGTAGAAAATGTTTTAAAATACAGCTTCCTTTATTTTAAAAGATAGAGTTCACTGCCACACAGTTAGTGTGGAGATAAAGAGATTCTATGCAGTTATCAAGAAAGTATTGCAAAAGGTGACCTGGAAACCTGAAAAGTTTCCCTCAAAGCTTTAAAGGTTTTTGTTATGAAAATTCATTACAAAATACTGTGTTTGCCTTTATTTCTAAAATTTAGAGAAAAAAAAAATCCTGGTGTGTCTATTATCAACTCCTACCTCCCATTTCCAGTTGCTACAAACAAACGATGCAGAAGCGCTGATTTATTCCTCCTAATAATCTTAGTTGGTTTTGATCCACTCCCTCTCCCAAACCTCTGGAATCCCCTATCTGCCTCACGCTTACCTTTTTGGGTGTCCGGGCCTTGGTAGACTTTGCCTTCTTCCCACTCTTTTTGTTCACCATGGATTTCCTTCCCTTCTTCTCAGGAGTAGGTGAAAGGATGGTCTCAGATTTGCCTTTGGCACCCCGTTTCTTGGCTAGAAGCTCTGGCTGAATTCTGGGCAGGACACCTCCACTTGCAATAGTCACACCTTTTAGCAACTGCAAGGAGAAGCAGAGTAAAGGAGCACATTACAGATTCTCTTAGTCTGCACTCAAGCTATTTTTGCTGACTATATTACACATATGCACATATTACACTATACCGCACATATTACACATGTGCAAGAGTCCACACTTCCCAAAGCATTGCACCTCATCCCTTTATCACGAAAAAAAAAAACCAAACAAAAACTATGAGGAAGAAAATCCACAGTAACAAGAAACCTGGCAGGTCACAGCAAGGTCAGCCAGAGAACTCCGTTACTGTACGGGTCAGTCACTCTTCTTTCTTCCAGTTCTGGTCTTTCTGCATACCTGTCCTTGGTGACTCACAAGCAATGAGGGAGGGTAAGAGGAGACGATAAGTGCCTGCGGGCTACTTAAAAAAATGACTGCACGACAGCCCTGCTCAAAGAATGACTGGTTGTAGATCCCTTTGGCAGGGAAACAGATTCAGTGAAAGCAAGCATGAACCCCAAGAACCTGCTTTGCAGAGGTGAACAATAGGAATGGGCTGTGATATTAGGTGGAGGACAAAATTAGGCTAATTCCTAATACACAACAGTAGATCTAGTCCCCAGTTCACAGGCCAGTGACCAGCACCACGGAGCAAGGAATGGGCTGGTAGTGTTAGCATGCTTTTCCCTCTCTCCTGGCCTCTGTTTTGACTTTTCAGTCCCTTTGACTGGAAACAGAGCTAGATGACTTCATGGCCACCACATTTTCATTATTTAAAGCAGTCTAATTAAGTGCAGAAATCTTTCAAAGTGTGAATGATGTCATCCATCTTCACATGGGGCCAACCAAGAAGAGATCTTCTGATGCTGACTGAACCTTCCCAGCACCCCCGAATGCTGCAATTCACAGCCCACACCATGATCTCTCTTCTCACTCAACAAGTTTTGCAGAAGTGATCCCTCAAGTGATCCTCAGAGTCAGAGCACTGCAAACCACAGTCTGGGTGCTAATGGGACCTGGGCATATGGAGGGGGAGGCAGTCCTGGAGGCAGGAATAGCAGAGCGTGAGCCAGATCCCTCCCCAAGGTGGACCTCATAGACAGTATAATAGAAAACACATATTTCTACAGCTTTTGGGAAAAAGTCTTCCATATGGCACATTTTCTTTAAGTATTGGATGTCCCTGAGGAAAAAATTAAGCACCAAGTTTACCCACTTCAACAGGACTCACAGGCTGCGAAAGAAGCAAAATTTATATCCAGAGGGTTTAAGATGAGCTATCTCAGAACCTTCTTTTTTGTTTGCTTTTATTCAAGTGGGCACAATCTTGTCTTCTTCTGCTCTAGTAATTGTGTTCTCATTCCTGTGTCAGACTAAACTGTTTCTAACCTCCCGTGGTAGCAGCTTCATTCACGCCCTGAATGTAAGTAAGTATCGCCCTGAAATGTAAATGGGTACCTGATTCAATTCCTCATCATTTGCAACTGCCAGGAGGATGTGTCTGGGGGCAATTCTTCCTTTCTTGTTGTCTCGTGCTGCATTTCCCGCTAATTCTAGAATTTCAGCTGTAAACACATTGAGATAAAAATGAGTAACAAAAATGCAACTTATGTACACCCTGTATACACACGTTTTACATTCCTTCTTAATACCCATTTACCTTTTCAGGGTTGTTTCCCAATTTAAATGGTCTTTGCTACAGAAAGGCAGAAACCAAACAGCACTCAATGTATTTGTAAATTTACATAAAATGATTTGTCCTTCCTAATTCCCTAAAGGATAGCTAGCAGAAAACATGCTAAGCTTGGTTCACTTAACTTCTTTTACAAGTCCCAAGTCAGAATTTTCTTTCAAAAAAACAGGAAACACCCTACAAAAATGTACATCAGCAGTCCAAAATTGAGCAGTAACCCTGTAACAATAAAACAGTAAAGCATGCAATGAAACCCCAAACCTAGTAGAGACAGTTCTGACAAAACAGCAAGGATTCTTACAACCAGGTAAGACGAAGACTGAGGTGCATTTAAAGAAATACTTTGAAAGCCAACAACAAACTAGCCAGGCGATGCTGCAATTCTGCATTAAAGGGCATTGAAAATCTGTGAGAAGCTTCATTTCAGAACAAGATATGAAAGGTTTGACTTAGAGGCAAGCAGAGACAACATAAGAGCTTCAGTGCATGAACTATTGGTAGAAAGTTCCTTCTACATCTCCAGGAACAGGACGTCACTTCAAAAGCAGTTTCTCTAAATTTGCAATAACATTTATACTGTGACTAAAGTCACTGAGCTTTTTCTAATTGTTATAGAGGAAACACAGACACGTCTTTCTGAGTTTATTTAAACTGTAGCAATCAGTATAATTCATTAACTTACACAGTTTGGCCCCTACTCAGAAGTTATTTCTCATGTAAGAACACTACTGAAACACTGAGAAGGAAGGAGAAGGGAATGTTTTGCTCCAAATAATCGTAAAAATCATATTCACACCTTGTTTCATTTTAAAAGTATCCAGTGTCCCTGCCTTCTGGATTTTGTTTTTGTATTTACATCTGTCAGAAACAGGGGTAAGAAAGTTACAGCCCATCAGTGTTCTACTGATGATATCTTACTCCTTTTTATCAACTAAATAAATAAAGAACTGTAACTATTATAAAAAGAACTTTCATGAAAAATCTAGTGGAAATCTACATAATGCTCTCTGGCTAAAATCCAAAGGATTTCAACAAGAGGTTTAGCTCTCAGTTCATGGGAAAAATACAAGCTTTCCATTTCACGCAGTGAGAATAACAAAAGTGCATACTCATCATCCCGTTTTCACTACTATACAGCATACACACTTAACTGAATGTTGGAGATGTAAATGCCGTTGTTTAGAATTATGTGCATATTCACAATGAATTGTCTAAGAAACAGCTAGTGTCTGTTGAAAATTTTCACAATTATTCATGCAAAACTTTCAAGAAAAGTTATCAAAGTTGCAAAGACAAGCACTTAAATTTTAGGAAATATTAGAACCGTGGTTGCAATAATTAAGCCACTGGCATGAGGAAAAAGCAGTGTATGATCGGACAATCAGAAGCAGTATCACACCACAAATACACACTGGGCCTACATTAAATTTAGGGCAGCAACCTCGGCATTGGCATTTCCTAACTTTGGAGTGTTTGACTTGGACTTTAAAGAAGGAGACTGAAAAGAGGTCCTGCATAATCCAGCTATATTCACCCCTGTGGGGGCTGCAGGGCTGGAAGTTTCAGACCCAACTCCCAGACCTCTGCCAGTGGAGCTAATGCAGTAGCAGACAGCAGAAACAGATTGCCATCCATTGTGCAGACCAGCATAAAGCAAGAAAAGAGACTCAGACTTCTCCAGTGGGTTTTGCAGATTGGTGCTGATAGCAGAGGAAGATTGCATCAGGGGAAAAAAAAAAAGCAACACATACTTACCTGCGTGGTAACCGAAGTTCTTTCAGATGTGCCAACAACAGGCACATCCTGCTACCTGTGTGCTCACCCCACTCCCCCAGGTTCTGGGTCCTTTGGCCAGCAGCATCCTGATGGTGCACTCAAATGTCCTCTGCCTAATGTTAAGAGCAAAAAACGCAGAACGCTCAAATGCCAGCCCTCTACCACAGGACACCGGGAAGAAGGGAATCCAAGGCAGAGATGATGTATGGCAGACTGTGGAATATGCATATAACTTATCAAAGGATGCCAATTATTTGCATAGGTAAATAATTGCCTTACCTCCTTCTAACGATTGTCTATATGCATATTTTTCTAATGCTGGAGGCAAGGACTCAGTCTTAAGAATATAAAATGGCACTTGCAAAATGCAACATCAAATCTGGAGGCTTCCGTTATCACATCCTCTGCTGATAAGAACAGATCCCTAAAGAAACTGCTTTACATTTCAAGTAGAAACATCTTGACAGCTGAGGTTACCCAAACTCTAAGGAGACTAGTCTGAGAATATAGGTCCTATAATGAAGTCCTATACTATAACAAGCTCTCTTGAAATCGGGCATCTTGATGATCTCAGACATAAGTTGGTTTTACTTTATGTCCTCTCAGCAGCAGACATTAAGAATTAAAGTGAAATCTGAAATAATCTTGCGTCCCTCAAGATTTAAAATCCACACAAGATGCCTCCACACTAGAAGCATAACTTCAAATTCAGACATCTTCTGCGCAGATGGCTAAAAGCTCGTTTATGCACTCCACAGTACACCTTAGCCTCAGATAGACATCGAACGTATGTCAACAGAGTAATGCTCAGATCTGTCCACTGACTCTACACAACACCCAGTCTTACCAATAGAGCCTTTTCTCCTGTTTGATAAGCACTCGGGACCAGGGAAGAATGTAACTGTCTTCCAACTGACACAAGCGGCAGCCAAGCTACGACCTGAATGGGATTACATCTTCTCATCCTGTGACGTACAGGAAAAAGAGGTTTCTTTAGCTGATGGATCAACAGATTTGGAGTGTCTGGGAACTAAAAGCATCATAGCCAGGCCAAAGCTATTTGTTCAGCCTGGTTTTGTGAAATGCTCAGCTGGACTGATAAGAAAGATATATGAGAACTACTGATAGCAGAATCAGAAAGATTTCAGACAGGTTATCTTGTTTTCCACTTCCCCTTTAGGGTAAGTTTTGACAGTTGCTGTTACACTACCATGTACAAATCTACCCAATAATACCTTTGCTCTGAAAAGACGTATCAGATGATGGAGTCCTTGGTCCTCCATTTGCAAGTGGAAAAGTATCTGCTCGATTTGTCTCTTGATGGCAGATGATTGAAACAGACAGAGAGTATGCCAGCTGATGTCCTTTGAAGGAGGAGGTATTTGCTGGTGTTGTGTTCTGCCCTAATTTACAGAAGATGGCTTTCCATTGTCATCTTCTGTGAGTTCCTCTGACCAGCACACCATTCACATTTCTTCTGCTTCCTAAGCAAGAGGCATCTGTATTCTTTGCCTACATTTTGGGAAGGTGCATTACGGGACACATGCAGTCGATGTTTGATTTAGATGATGATGACTGTAGTCAGCCCCGTGCACACTCAGAGCATAGTATGGCATGCGTCTGTTGCAAAGTCCATAAATCCGATGGGACCAAGGCCAATTTTTCATGGAGTTTTAACTCTGAAGCCAGTGGAGCCCAACACTGTTCCAGTAAACACAACCTTCTGGATAGGAATTAAGCTGCAGTTTTGCAGTATGATTTTCAAGCCTAAGATATAAAACAGCATAGAGAGATTATAAAAAAAAGCTTTAGAACACTGATGAGATCTTCTTCACATTAGCTAACCAGCCGAGGTAAAAGCACCTCTTCTTGAGACACACTGCGGTGATTGCTGGCATTTTAACAATGGGGTTGATAAGCCAAAGCGCAGGTTCGGCGTTGATAATGGCTGTGGGGTGCAGCCACAATCAATCTTGCATACAAAGGGAAAAAAATGGGGATCTAGTAGCTCGTGACACAGAACACATACCAAAGCCAAAAGGCAGTCTGAACCACGTGGCAACAGGGAATAAGGATGCTCAAGATGTATATGCACCATCCGGGTGATGCTAGTCAAGAGGCTGAGTGCTTCCGGGCAACACAAATATAGGCCATCAACAGACCACATGCACGGCTGATCGCTCACAGGAGAATCACTGGTCCATGCGAGGTCCTGGATGAATGCAATCAGAAGCTCTAGTCCTGTTCGACCCTTCCAGCCTCATCCACCTTGCCCCTATCCCAGCCATGACTTGCTTTCCCAGCTCCATAGCCCATTCTCCTTTCCTTGGCAATCCACACCTGAGACTTCTATCTCAGTTGCCTTTCCTGGACAGTCTCCGTTTCTCCCGTCTACTCTTCTTAGTTACAGTAATACTCAGGCTCAATATTCCTTTCTAAGTTCTTCATTATCAACGCCCCCTCCATAGGGCCTATGCCCTATTTTTCCAACTTACTCTCCAGCTTCCCGGCAGGATTTTTGGACACCCCTTGCCATTTATTTGCCCACTGGCCATCAGTTCAGCTCTCCCCACCAGCCAGATCCACCCCCGGCTCTGTATCTAACATCAATATTTTTCTCCCATAACCATCGTCTCCCCAAAATGTTATGATCTGTTCCCAGTCTCCTTCTCTGACCAATCCACAGTCTGCTTATCCAGTTAATCCCAGCCTGCCCTTCCCACCCCACGGACAGTAAGTAGGATTAGCCTCTCCTTCAACTCCTATTCATGTACTCCCCGCCTTCAGTCCCAGACCTCTTGCCACCCGCCTTTGTGCGGCTTTTGCCTTCACATCAGAGAGCTTCTTCCCCTGTGCTGCCCGGTACTGCTAAGACCACAGAAAGCCCACTCCCTGCTCTCGGTGCTCTGACCAGGAGCAGCCAGGGACAACAGTGAGAGGGAAAATCCTTCTGACCACCTGCAGCCACGGGCTAAAGCATGCTCAGCCACTGCGTGGAGTGGCCCATGCGCAGTCCTGTCACATGTGGGGAGCTGAGAGGTTGAGGCATGCTCCGTCGCTCTGGGGGGACGATGCATAAGCAGTCTGGGCAGCACTGGGAGCTAAGAGAGGCTGGAGTGTGCTCAGTGAGGACCAAGTCTTCGGAGATTTTAGCTTTGATAAAATCAAAGAAGTCTCTGCTGAGCATGAGCAACCTGTGATTTTTCAAAGTTACAGCTTGGCCAAACAGAGCAGATTTCTCTGAAATGGCAGAGACCACCCTTCCCCTTTTGTAAAGCATCAAGTCCCTGCTCAAATGCAGAGAAGCACCCAGACGTTTGGAAGAGAAGTTCTCATGAATGTTTTAACATACTAAAAAAACATGGTTCAACCTGCTTCCGTGAAACAGTTAAAGAAGCAGACTCCCTTACTCCCACCCTCCCAGACTGAGCCTGAAGCAGTTCCCCTGTGTGCAGGCTTTCACCCTGAGTAGCCACCATTTCATAGTTGCAAGTCCATGAGAGAAAACTGGAATTTGTAATAGGAAGTATCAGATAATGTTAAGAAATGTTACCAGTTTGATATATAATACCCCCTTTGACAACAGCCTTGGAAAACTACATTTAGTTTCTCAAGGCTACCCAAAACCAAAGACTATATTCACACATACATATCAGGAATAACTAGATCAGCAGGGTTAGATGTTGCAACACTGTTTTTTAATTGAACTATCCACCTTTGTAATCTTTTCAAACAAAACTCTGGATAGAGTGCAGAAACTTTGGTTTGGAAAAACCAGTATCCACAAGCAACAGGTGTTTGCTCAGAAACGCTACTCCATTCTACTATGATATATACAGGGCTGGGGCAAGAGGGGGTTCTCTCTCTGCTGAAAGCAGCTTAAAATAACATTCCCTTACAATTTATGCGGGCCCCTAGCCTACACATCTAGCAATTTTCTTGCCTGGTTGACTACACACTCTTTTTTTCTAAAACAAAGTGTAGGCCCACACATAATCTGCCCTTACCATATTAATGATTTAAATTAAACTGCACCTACTAGCCAGAAGCAAAGCTAAGCTATACACTGTTCTAGTTCAGATAACAGGTAAACAGTGCTGTGCTGTATGTTATAAAAAGATGACCATAAGTCAGTCTGCCCTACTTAAGTGCTGCATATACCAGATGTGCTGTTGACAATTTATTACTACGCCTTGTAATAATTGCCACAGCTCAGAACAAGCATCTCCAAATGTTTATCCTCGAAACTCCTTCGAATGCTATGGATCCCTGTGGAGTGGGAAGAGAAAAAAAGTATTCGTCCCCAGACTGAAGGTCAGCAGAGTCATTATGCAGCACATTATTCAGTTATAAAAGTCAGTGCTATTTCCAAAACCCATGTAATATGGTTTTCATCTTGCAACACCCAGACATCCAGAAGTCTGTAGATGACTTCTAAGCGATTCACAATTGATGATAAAGTAAAGGAAACACACCTTGCTATAGAGAAATTCATATTTATGACATTCCTGAAGAGGCCTGAACCTCCACTAGAAAACATACAGAGGCCTACCAACCAAAGCAAGGTTTAAAATCACTGTGGTAGAGCAGGGGAGCTACAAGAGCTATGAATCCTCCATCTCCACCTTTCCCCCTCGCTCCCTGCAGCCTCTGAAGCGTCCCTGCTGAGTAGCACTCCATGTTGCAGACAACTAAACAAGCTCTGCAAGTCACAGACTTCCCCGGTACAGCACAACTGCACCAGCTCCACCGAGAGAGAGATTTCTGCAGTTATGAGACTTCATTTTTGATGTATGAAACTGGATTGTGCCAATATGAGCATACATATGTTCTTAATGAAGTGAAAGATCTTCTCCAAAATCACTTAGAGAACTGGTCTTTCTCTATGATGAAATGATCTTAATACAAACGTGTTTGTTCTTACACAGTAGAAAAATAAAATAAAATCAAACGAGCAGGAGAGATGCTCACCATCTTGGATTTTGATTCTGCTTTTCAGTGGTGTTTTGCTTTATTTTAAAACCAGCTCCTTTTCTGGACTTATCTCTTGAAGGAGCTGGGGGTGAACATAAATGCAAGCTTAAACATTTTGTTTACATTTCTTCCAAATAAGCAATACTTTTTCACTCCAACTCCAGAAGTAGCCTCAGGGAAAAAAAAAAAAATTTCTCATCCTGTAACTAATCAGCACAAATGTGGAAGTTTCAGTAACATACCATTAGGCATCATCAGAAATTTAATTTATTAATAGTGAAATTATCACTCTTTCAGATTTTCTCCACACCTTTGAAAGGAAACAGTGCTTTTATTGTCTGGTAGCAAGAACAGGCTTTCATGTGTAAAAAAGACAGCCATGTTTGCATACTGACATGCTGTTACATAGACAATCAGGCTCCAGGCAAGCTTCTTCCATGCCACTTTGGCAATAAACTATGCCCCTGAAACACAACCCACTCAACTCATTCCATCCAGGTTTGTGACTCCTCACAGATTCTCTAATGCACCTCAGTCTTGATCTGTAACACCTAAGTAACCTGAACCAGAATCCTCTCTCTCCACCGGGCGTTGTAACAATTTGCTAAGGTGCTATTTTCCATAATTAAATAAGAAACCAAGCAGATACGATTGCAGGACAGTCTGAAACATTGCAATACATCACAGTATATTGCAGTATATTGTATCACCATGTGACACCTGCCCCTTCCTCTGAGACCAGTTTCAGAAAGGAAGGGAAAAGAAAACTCGGGGTATGTGGGAAGATTTAAACCCTGACACAGTTTCTTTATACACTTAGGCAAGCCTAAAGTATTTTTAAAATACAAATGAACAACCTCTATATTTCATAACACTTTGACACTGTTCTGCAAGGAGAAATGCAGCTAGTGAAACAGAGTTTGTTCACTTAAAAAGCACAATAGATGTACCAGGTGGGTTTGCTTTTTTTTCCTCCTGTTATTCACATCCAAGTGTATCAAAAGCCTAATTCATACCAGTTTTCTCTTGGACAGAAACTACCTAGATGTGATTCCTCACTCTGCAAAGCAATAAAAAATAATTCTTCCACCTAGTGACCAAGCATGGTGCCTCTAAAGGAGAAAAATTCCATCCTCAGCCTCTTCAAAAAGCAAATTCATCTCCTTAGCATTTTAAGCAAATTTCAACAAATCCTGCACTTGCAGAGCCTGATTTTCTCTGAAGTGCTGAACACGTTCATATCCCATCCCATGGATATCCCTGGCTTCTGTGTGTGATCAGCACTTCCAGGATCAGGTTCTTGGTTTACCTGCTAGGTACTCTATGACGGCTGCCATGTAAACTGGTGCTCCAACACCTATCCGGTACTTGTACGTTCCTTTCTTTAAGTAGCGCATCATCCTCCCCACAGGGAAAATAACGCCCGCCCTGCTTGAGCGTGAGAGTTTCGACATTTTCTTCTTCCCACTTCGGCCCGACATCTTGCAGCTTTGTGCTTTTCAATTTGCTGGTGATTCTTATCCCCTTGCTCCAGTCCAAGAGCTGCAAGAGAAAAGAAACAGGATTGGTGTTCAGCATGTGAGAAACATCTTTATACATTACCTTGTTCTGCCAAAAGAAAAAATCCAAACCCATTCTCAATACCTGTTAAAGCTGAGGCATTATTCATCAAAAGTTGGATAACTGGAAGATTTGCTATAGCTTTTCTTTTGACTACTGCACTGTCAGTGTAGCAATACCACAGAAAAAGTAGTTTGGAGAATATAAAAAAAAAAATAGAAAATCAAATGCACATTAAATGAATCTTAAAAAAAAAAGAAAAAAAAAACCACAAAGCCAAATCACACCAAGGCAGACATCCACAGCACGGAAGATTTCCGTGCCGATTGTTAAGTTTGGCAAGTTATAAACAGCTGAGATGAACTGGCAAAATGGACAGCATTAGACAATCTGAAAAGCAGATCCTGGTGCCACCTATAAGTAGAGGAAGTCGTACTGCTCGCACAGGAGAAGAGAAAACCTACGTACAAACACACTGCTTCTTCACAGGTCTTTTATACAGTGAATTTCAATGCATGGCTGAAGCGGAGAAGCAGGCAAGCAGCTATTCTTCAACCACCTCCCCTCACGCTGCTCTGGCCTCAGGAACTGAGCCCCAGGGGCCAGCTCACAGGCTTCACCGCTTTCATAATTTTCCCTGGATCACCTTCACAGCAGCTCCTGGGAGCCCCAGAAGACTTCCTCCGCAGAGCTAAGGGGAGGTCTTTAATCTCTCATCTTAAAAGGACTGGCTACCAGGTTTTTCTGTCCATCAAGCTCCCTGAAGATGTGGTTTTTTCCTGCATTAAGAGCCAATCTAGGCTATACATAGGGGCAAAGAAAACAAATCTCATTTTCTCCTTGTTTTTCTGGCAACAGTGAGATTGCAGGTAAATGGACGACAAACCCTGGAGTCAGCCACTCCCAAGTGTGCATGCGGTCGTAGTTACACCCCTAGTTCTCACTCTCAGTCACATAATGGGGAAGTTTTAACTCTGTGCCCAAAAATTGTTTTTAACTCCATTTTGACAGCTGCCCTGGTGGCCTAATTATGATCCTGGTTACAACACAATAGATCAAGATTCACTCCTCTGAAACAAACAAAGAGCACGTCTGCCACAGATGTATTTCTGTCAGTGAAGGCACAGCTTCTTAATTCCCAGTATTTGTTCGCCTCAATGAAACAAGAAAACAAAAGGAGGGAGATAATTTGAAAAATATTATGATGGCTTCAGGTGATACTGTTAAATTTTATCACAATCTGCATTTTAAATAGCCTTCTCTCTGCTTCCCCCCCCCCAAAAAAAAGTCATTTGACACCACTGTAAGCCCTTAGGAACAATCAACATTCATCCAAGGAAGGCACAGAAATCTCTGTTTCGTTCTTATCCTGCTTATTACAAATCAAATGCATGTACAAAGAGGGTCATCTGTCCCATACAAAGCCAGACATTCACAGAAACCAGCTCATCCATAACAGCCAAATTCAAGGGTGGGTTTCTACGATAACCTAACTTGAACGCTGGTTTCATTATGGTATCAAGGAAATAAAATCACCACAGGGTCTGCAGAGATCTATAAAACCCTGGCGTGTCCTTGTCTATCAGCCAGATAATTTCTTCTTTCTGCGTGCAATATATTACGGGGGCACGATAACAAAAGTTGGGAAAGATTAAACCAGTAAACCTATCGGACACGGTCACCTCAAAACTGATGCTGCTCATTATCCCACTCCGAGTTCCCTGTGAACTGCCAGCCTGGAATCACAAGTGGTGGTAAAAGAGCTCATAAACTACCGCTTGCAAGTGTGGATTAAAGGCAATGGCCACTTCAAACAGACACAAGTAGAAAAAATTCCCAAGCAATCCATTAATCGCATTGATGCAGGAGTAACCAGTTGTGTAGGACAGGGAACAATTGCTAGGAAGCAGCTCCACTGATCAGGACCAGCTGGTTACCATGGGGGGAAAATGAGCTGCTGTGAAGAGGCAAACCTTGCGCTAAGGTGTGTAAGCAAGAGGACAGCCAACACTGAGCTGAGGAGCTATGCCCAAGAGCAGATACCATGCTTCAGGCATGCGGAGCAACGAGAATCCAGAGGAGGGTGATGAGAATGACTGGACGTCTGACACAAACTAAAAGGGAAGGCAAAAAGAAGCAGGGAGACGTGATAATGGCCTTGAGAGACGTAAAGGGCTTCTTCAAAGGCGGAGGGAGTAAGTGTTCCCTATAAAAGTGACAGGAGAAGAGCAGGACTCTTACAAAAGCTGTGTAGCAGGGAGGAGAGCGGAGCACTGGACCCAGTCAGACGGGGAGGGGACAGAATCTTCCCATCAGGACAACTTTAAAACGGTTAGAGAATATATGTCAGAAATGGCACAGGCAGCATTGGATCTGCCTTGGGACAGGAGGCTGGACAAGGTGATCTCTCGAGGTCCCTTCCTCCAGCCCTCCTGCTCTATGAAATTTGCAACTTGTGACAAACCCTTTATAAACTTTCAATTTCATATTATGCTACCGATTAACCTTTATAAAGTGTCCTTTTCAGTTCGTGATAACTGACATTCAAATTAGTGAACAAACGTAGGCTGGGAATTAGGTTTCTAGCGAACTTCTGGAACAGCCTTCTCTTATGAGTAACATGAGCAACAATAACTCATTTTAAGGTGGAACTTACTAAATGTATGCACTAGGCTATGATTTGATTCCTGCAATACCGGCAGGACAGTTTCATCACCCGAGAGCTCAGTCCTGCACTGAAATCCCTACAGAGAGCCATGCTGAAAGAGCACACTACAAACAATGATGTATCAAAATCATATTAAGCTAGCCTCTCATATATTTGCTGTAGTACCAAATTCCAACTGCGTGTAAATCAATGAAAAAAAAAAAGCAAACGTCATGAGATTGCATCCGCAGAAAAGACCGTGGTTGCACTTGATCTCTGTGATGGAAAATCAAAACATATTTGTGTAACTAAGCACACCGCTCTGGGGCATGCTGTTGCATTATATACATTTCTGTTTAATTAATCACTTCTGGCTCATTCTTCTGTTGCCTCACTGAACTTTCCACCTCTGTCTCTACACCTTTATTTTTCCCTTCTCTCTCACATCAAGACTCAGCCATTTTTTCCCCTGCTGCTAAGGCAACCTTTGGAATCCCAAAACATTTTTCCAAATACACTGCAGGTAACAGATCAGGTACGTTTGCGGAATTTTGTGAGAGCCTAAATACAAAAGAGGTTTCAAAACTCTGCTAACACAGTCTCTCTCTCTCTTCTGTGCAACTTACATGGACCAGGGTATACTGGGGAGTGACATATACAACAGCATGTTCTTGTCTTGGCCTGTCTCCTACGGGGCGTGATTTTTGGTAGGAAAAGCAAGCTATGGCATAGTCACATCTACTAGAAGACAATTCTGTGGACAAAGAAACGTGGTATGCTAGGATTGCCAACAATCTACGCTAGGCACCTTGGAGGGTGGACGCTAAAGGGAATGGTTCACAGGCTCAGGTGACTGTCAGTCCTTGGGATCTGGAAGCTCTCTTGCACAGAAGAGCCACGCCTGGTCTGCAGCGAGGCTCCAGGGTTTCGTGCCCTGCTGGCTCATTCCTCCCCCAGGCAGGGGTTTGGTTTACCTCAGAGGATGCACGTCAGCTCAGCCCTGACACAGTTACATGAGGCACTCACCTGAACTGCTCCAAAGCTGCAAACAGCTGAAGACCTACTATTTGAGCACTGCTGTCCTAATTGTTCTCTTTGGATGATATAGCTCAGCGTCCAAGGCTTATGAGTTGAAAAGGACTTCAGCCTATCCACGTTAGTTTCCTCACTGCCAGCTGATTCATCGTCTCTACGTTTGCCCTTATAAACTACAGTCTCCATGAAAAAACACAGCCATGTCATTTATGTGAAGTCCATCCTCGCTGAGTTAGAAGAACTGCATCTATATCTGGCTACCACGACATCATGAGGCTTGGGCAATTTAAAGCAATTAATGTTTCCAATCCCTTAATTGGTCACGGCACACTCCTACTCTGCCATGACTCCAACATCCCTGTGTTGCTACGGGGGATTTAGTAGCTACCAGATCTCCTAGAGCTCTCTACAATATGATGAAAATAGGGTAGACTTTTGCAAGCTGGGCCTTCCTCTGTGAATTAAATCTTCTTCAGGGCCCAAAACAGCCACCGTATTTTCCTTCTGCCTGCTGGAGAAAGAGCTCTACCTCCTTGCTTCTCTCAGGTGGGTCTGCTGGCCACTTGGAGGGTCCCTCTGCTACAGCCACTACCACCCTGTTTTCTTCCACCGTGGTTATAAGCAGAGGGTAATGACAGCTCCACAAGGACACTGGAACCAGAGACCGCCCTGGGACATTCCTCTCACCGTTGTGCAATTTGCATCCCACACCACATCCCGACAGATCAAGGATTACCAAAGCAACCTTAAAACCACTTTCCAGTCCTTCCTACACGGACACTCAGAACAACAAAATCTCATAATCATCTTTAGGCAGTAAGGACACATATCATTTTTAGAAAAGTAAGAATGACCTGCAGACACAGAAACAGATTGCAACCTCCAAGTGAGCCTGAATGTGAAAAGCTGGCCAGCAAGCAATTTCAGAGATTAACATGTAAAGATCTGGCAAGAAAGCACGGATGCACATCAGAACATTCAGTGCGTTACAAAATGCCTAAGATACATCAAATCTAAGTTTTTCTCTAAGAGAAAACACAGAAAACAGTAAAAGAAAAGAAAAGAAAGCTTAGTTTGCACAACGTAGCACCAAAACTGTTGCAACACTGGTGGAGAAAGGTAAATTCTGGTCGTTTCTCTTCACATACCCGATCGTACACAAGACAGAAGCAAGCTAAGATAATAGCTACACCAAATACGAAATGCACACTAGCAACTAGTTATCACTAAATATTTGAGCAATGATTAGGTAAATTCCCAGTCAGATTAAAACAGCTGGCATTGCAGCTTATCCTTCTGGACT